TCTATCTATCTATCTATCTATCTATCTATCTATCTGTCGATCTAATTATCCATCTCTCTCTCTTTCACTCTCTCTGCTTTTCTCATGCACACATATACACATACACTTTCTCTCATTTTCTTGTTGTCTTTCTAACAGTTTGTTTCAGGCATGGTACCAATTTTAGATTGTCTTTATTAACAATACAAATTCAATTCCTGAAAGTGTTAAACTTGTCATGGTCAGCGAAAACTACGTCATTTAAAATATTTTTTCTATCATTCTTTTCGCCTATTGTTTAAAAAAAAAAAATTACCAATGACAGTGAAATTAAGCAACCAGCAATTATTGAAATGTGGTTTCTTAAAAGACTGTTCAGAAATTTACCGAGGGAAGGAAATCAACAATTTTAATGAGGCAATGCTGAAAAAGTCCGCGGGGCCACCCACTAAGGTAAACCTTTAATAAGAAGAGACCGGTACAGTTTCTAGAACACTTGAATCGACATAGAAACCTTGAAAATCTTGATCAGTCGAAGGCGAAAGATACAATAACAGATTTGAACCGTTTATTCTGACATATTGAACGCGCGCTCATATTGCCGTATATGCAGTTGCAAGCACCGTAAAACGCTTACTAAAACTTAAACTACATTGAACAGAAGGATGACAAGGAAATGGGCTTTGTAGAAAGCATCCTAGCTTAGAACTGAATTCGACTCATGATGCATGTTTCAAATCTTCACTCTTTGATGATGATTAATATTATCTGGACTTAAATCAGGTTTGAATCATGCACTTTCTTGATTTGTCCGTTACTATTTTTTTTTTCTTTGACCATAAGAATGCAGATCTCATTGCAAAAAGAAGTTTTGTCTTTTATACAATTCATCTCAGTTTTTGTTTTGTTTTTAATTCTAAAAGCACTGTTGTGATTATTTTGATAGCTCTGTCTGTTGCTACCACTATTTGAAAAAATGCTTTCGAGAAATTCGGTCAAAACTTTGTGTGCATTTAAGATTGATGGAAAGAGAGAACGAAAGGCAAAGAGCTGAGGAGAGACAGACAGAGAGAGATAAAGAGAGAGATTAATGAAGAAAGAGAGAGAGAGAGAGAGAGAGAGAGAGAGAGAGAGAGAGAGAGAGAGCGAAAGAGCGTGTGTGTGTATGTGTGCGTGTTTGTGTGTGTGTGTGTGCGTGTGTATGTGTGTGGGTATGATTATGTGTGTGTATATAATAATGTGTGTGTGTGTGTGTGTGTGTGTGTGTGAGTGTGTGTGTGTGTGTGTGTGTGTGTGTGTGTGTCTGTGTGATGGAGATGATGAGTACATAGAATAGAGGCGATGAAGTGTGTAAAAGGAGCAGACAGAGAGAGAGGGATGGCGAGAGAGAGAGAGAGAGAGAGAGCGAATGTAGGAGTGAGGTGCTTAGGGGGGATTTGGGGGATTCATCAAATTTGCACTCAGAAAACTAGTCTTTGTATTAAGGACTATCTAGATCTTCCATACTCTCATAAAACTGCTGATTCAGATATACGTTATGGCTCACTATGACCCCACAGTGCACACACACTGTGCACTCATGGATGGTAGCATTATGTTCATCCATTTATGTTTCATTTCGTGAAAGCACATGACACGTTACTCGAGATCTCCGGTTTGTTGTAAGTTCTGGTAACCTGCTTGGTAATATGTTTGGTGACCTGCAAGATTTTGACAATGATTATCATGTATAGGTCATTATTACTACCGTGCGGAAATATTTCGAGTTTTTTTGTTATGCATCAAATGTGATATGCGTATGGACGTACCTGTTTTGTGCATATTCTTGTCCAGCATTTCATCGTACATGTATTTGTTGAAATGGGTGTCAAGATTGCCATTTTAAGGCTCCCTCTATCCAATAGAACTGACTGGATGAATTAACTTTGTAATTGGATGGGGATTTTTAAGGGCATAATGGGGGTTGTTTTTGCTTTCTTATCTTGCAGTGTGTTTCTTTCGTTGTTTTCATATAAGCGAAATTAAAATTTAAGGACATACACCCAACTCCAAATCCAAGTACAAACGCAACTTAAAACTACTTACGAAGAGAGAGACTCCAAGAGCGCCTATGCGTAGATTTGCTATTTATTTGTTTTTGTTTTTAAAAAGGGGAGGGGGATGGTTATAACTTATTCATTTATCGTTTTTGCAACAAAAAACATTCGGACGGCAATGTGTTTTTCTATTTCTGTCTTTCTCCCGTCCCCCTCTGTCTGTCTGTCTGTCTGTCTGTCTGTCTCTTTATCTCTCTCTCTCTCTCTCTCTCTCTCTCTCACACACACACACACACACAAACACACACAAACACAAACACATACGCACACGCAGTCACGCACACGCTTATTTTCTCGTTTCAATCTTTCTACCCCTCCCCCCCCCTCTCTCTCTCTCTTTCTTTCAGCAGGAGAATTAGGGCAAAGGGTTTCCCCTGGTCGTGCTTAATTTTGACTGGGTTTTTTTAACGGATTAATTTTCTAGCCATCCTAACATCTCACAATCCAATATTTTAACTGCAGGTTTTTTCCTGTGCGTTTTGCCGCACGAACAAAAACTATGAAGAAACGCATTATTACAGTGTCTGGGATAACCAACCTGTCACAAAGGCCAGTGCCATTTTACTTGTACTGATTGAAAGACAAAAGAGGAAAGAGGGAGGAATAGGTCAAGAGTAACGTACTTCACAGGTGGGTGCCCGGAGAGAAAAAAGCAAAATAGAGGAGTTTTTCTAGCAGAAAATGAATACTGAACTGTGATCGCCGATGTCTGTTTCAAATCTGGCACTTTATATTGATGGTGATGAGTGTTGTTTATTTATTGTTCTGTTTTTAAAGGCATCTTGTACATCCAAAACAGTGCGTGCGCTAAAATCACCTACTTGTTTTTGTTGTGTTTACTAGTTTAAATGCGAGTGTGTGTCGTCGTGGTGTAATCATCCTCTCGTCAAAAGGATGCATTCGAAGAAAACAATATTTTCCCGATCCTTGGGCAATTCTTATCGATGTTTCAGGGGGCTCAGTGCTTTTTAATTCTGGTAAAAAAAAAACCAAAACATTTCTATGTGGTTTATACGAAAAAACGTCAATCAAATGTAACAAAATTATTGTGTTTCTATTCGGTGTTTTTTGAGGACATTCAAACTTCGGAAGTCACCAGGCAACCCTCTCTTCCTTCTATTGTGAATACTCCGACTTCTTTTCAGAGTATGTCCGTTTATTTTTGGTTTCTTGTTTTAATCAAAAACCAGAAAAATCAATAAGATATAAGACCATTTACCAAGAATGTGACGAGAGCCTGAAAACACCGCGTCGTGACACAACTATACTACAGTATTGACGACATTCTTGCACGGTTTGACATCTCACTGTGGAGGCGCCCCTGTCTGTTGGATGTGGTCCCCTGCCTGGCAAGCAGGCCCACCATTCATGTTATTATGTGTGTGTGTCGTCGCAGTGAAATCAGGCTCTCGTTAATCTGAATATTTTTTTCTTTAAAAAAAAAGAAGAAAACAAGAAAAACTAACATTTTTCTTATCTTTTGGGATTAGAAATATATAAACATGTGGATTTTTTTTGTTTCTTTGATTTTTGCTTTTATCTCAGCACTTTTCAAGTACATTTAAATGTCACTCAAGACTACTGGTTATTTTTTTTCCATCACAAACAGGTGGGCCGGGGGAATGGGGGTGACTGCAAACGAACTATATTAATGGTGATACCAACACATTTTGACGAGAGCCTGAAAACACCGCGTCGTGACACATTTTGTTAATGCAAATGTGGCCATGGCTTGCTGAGAATTCTCCGACTTGATCATCACACGACAAACACGTCCTTTTGCAAAGACCGCCCCCGGCTTTAGCGCAATCAGTATGATCTATTCATAAATATATTATTTATTTATCTTCAGAAGATAATACCGTGTAAAGATTGACAATTTTGTTACTTCCGGTTTTCAATGATACCATAATTAATGCTTGACTCTTTTCTGTTTGCAAGTACATGTATTTGTATCCTTCAATAACTTTGCACTACCTTGTGCGGATGCTCACACAAAGACTCACACCCTGTGTGTATATAGTCCCATCAATTAAATAATAATGATGAACAAATATGTACATAACTGTACAATTGTAAATAGTTAGAGCGATATTAATTTATATTGTGAAATCCCCAATGTTGGCATAATAGTGCGTCATGTTTTTATTTATGATATTGATGGTTTCTTGTGATCGTTGACCGTATTCGTTGTTATTATTTTTTCATCGACACACACTCATCATCATCATCATCATCATCATCATCATCATCATCATCATCATCATCATCATCATCATGATCATGATCATCATCATCATCATCATCATCGTCATCCTCATCATCATCATCATCATCATCATCATCATCATCATCATCATCATCATCATCATCATCATCATCATCATCATCATGGTCATCCTCTTCATCATCATCATCATCATCGTCAAATACATCACCATTCCGATATCCATCGAAGTCATGATCAAATGAAAACGTGGCTGTACAACTTAAAGCTTTGATCTTTTTCTAACATAATTTGGTTTCAGATGTCATATTTGTTTCAATACAGAAAGAAAATCCAAAATATTCGTCAGAGAAGCAATAACTGTTTTTTAAAAGAAAGCTGCTCATACCAATATATTTATACATGTACCACATGGTTTTCATTAACTGTCTGATATCATTTTCAAGCAATGAATGCATTTTAAGAAAAAAAATCTGCCGTCTTTTTATTTGCTTGCACTGCTTCCTTGTTTCTGATCATCAATTGTGTTTCATCATAGTTCCGTGTGTGTTATTGTCCAAGTGGTTGCAATGTTTAATAGACAGCCTATGGTGCTCTTTGCTGATCATTGACTGTTGATATTCCGCCTCTCGTGTGTGTGTGTGTGTGTGTATGTGTGTGTGTGTGTGTAAGTGTGTGTATTTGTGTGTGTGTGTGTGTGTGTGTGCGTGTGTAAGTCTGTATGTGTGTGTGTGTGTGTGTGTGTCCTATAGCTAACAATTAAATCGCTCTGTCTGTCCATAGCATTATTTTGATATAGTATAGGTCTTTAGTGAGGATTGTATTTGTCAATATGCCGACTAACTGCAACGTTTAGAGAGAACCCTGAGTGCATAACTGATATTCAGTCAGTTGTGTACGGTGGAAGATGAAAGCAGGTCTTAAATTTGTCCTCTGAGGTCGCCTGTGCATCGTTTAACAATTATTCTTCTCAACTCTATTAGTTAGTGTAGCGTATCTTTATACCCTTTCAAATAATCAATTTGCTGCCCAAAACTTTTCTTTTGAATTAATTGTTCAGATTTCTGAAGATTGCTTCCTGCACGTTCATGAAGATTTGACAGTCCTTGTTTTTGTGGGCTTCGCTTTGAACATGAACCGTTTCGAGTCTTGATACGAGCTGAAGAGAACGGGATCCAAGCGAAGACATGTCATAGAAAGGAGTAGGGGTGCTAGATTGAATTTTATTGAGACCGGTAGAGAAAAGGAGAGAGAGAGAGAGAGAGAGAGAGAGAGAGAGAGAGAGAGAGAGAGAGAGAGAGAGAGAGAGAGAGTGGTTGAGAAAGGGAGAGATACAGAGAGAGAGAGAGGGGGGAGAAAGAGAAAGAGAGAGAAAGAGAGAGGGGAGAGAGAGGGTGGAAGGGAAGGAGCATAACAGAGGTATTAGCAGGTTTCAAGGAGTAGTACTTTACTTTGAAAACACAAGATTCTTATAGTCCAAAGTTTTGAATATAAATTTAGCAACCCTTATGGAAATATTCTGCTCAAAATAATTCACTACATCGATCCGTTTATCGTATTTGATTTATATTTCTCATAATTAATGGCTCTAGGTTTTAATGTACTACTTCAGAATGTTTAGTGTATGCTGAACTGAAAAAAAGCACAATTGTGACAATTTTGTTTTATTTCACTAGAGAAAACAACTTATAGATTACAGTAAATAATAATCTTTACTTCCCCATTTGAAAAAGTGTCCTGGGTCTAAGACCTAGTTTTGCTTGCAATACGTAACAGTTTTTATTAATAACACACTACAGAAACTTTCTATCTGAAATACCATTATGCTAGAAAATGTCCCTAGAATTGTGAGAATGTTATGATCAATACGTGCGATGGTCATTAGAGGACACATTTTAATGATGTTTGAATGTTGTCATAACCGTTCCTAAACTCCTCCCAATTTCAAAATCTTAGAGCGAATGCTCACTCACATAAACAATACTCGTTGGAAAAGCAGTGCAGAAACGGTTTATTCCCTCTCCGGCATCAGTACAAATTCTAAAGTCGTGTTCTGTTTAGGACATTATGGTGACAGTTTGTAGAACCATTACAGTTTTAATTACATTGAGCTGTTGGGTTCTTTAATCACAATTCAATTACTGGGCTATTTATAATTGCGTTTTGGTCACTGAGGAGAACTTTACCATTTTTCCCTTCTCGCAAGTCCTTATTGTAGACAGATAATATGTTGGGTTTTTTTCGTTAATACCACGTTGTTGAAAGCGACGTGAAAGTAAAAAAAGCAAGATCATTCAAATGTATCAGGTCATCTGCCTCCGATGAACCCAGCTCCTGGTTGAATAACACGCTTATTAATGCCAGATTGAAATGTACTTGTGGCAGTAGTATGAATTGTTGCTTTTTTGTTTTATCGATGTTGATAACTTGAGTATTTGTCTGTCTGCTTTATCCATTCTTTGGTTATTTGTTGAAAGGTGGTGATAATAATTTCATTTTTAGTTTGTTATAAATGTTTTAAATTGCCAAAATATACCTTACATTGATTTGAACTTTCGATGGTTTCTGTGTTGTTCCTACAGTGAAATTGTCATGTTGGCTAATACTACTGAGTGGTTGTTTTGTTGTTTTTTGTTTGTCTGCTTTTTGTTTGGGGGGGGGGGGGGGTTCAACTGGCATCTGTGATGAAGTGATAGGGCACTTTGCTGTCCCTCACAGGAGACCCTAGTTTGGTTCCCGAGAGGGGAGAATTTTTCTCGAGTTTCTCATTCCTTCTGCTGGGATGTTGTATCCTACTTTGCGCGGATTGGCTCTGACAGGCAGGATCGGAGCCCACCTCCAGAATATTTTAAATTGCGTTCAATTTGGCGTAAAAACACCAACATTAAAAGCAACAATAAAATGTCTTTTATCATATTTCATCGAACACCGTGAATCGAACTAATGTCTTTTGACTTCGGCACATAGAACCTACCCAGAAGACTACACCCAAAATCCCAGTTTCCCTGGTTGGAACTCCACATTGGACATTCTGAAATTCGGACGTCTTGTGTAGTTTTCAAGGCTCTCAACCCATTCCAGTGGGTCTTATGAGAGATGGGCGTTAAATTTGGTTATCTCGTCTCTGAAATAACCCTGTATTGTTGACAGGGTCGTTGAACCTATATACACAAGACGACAGATTTTTGTGTTTGTCTGTTTGTCTATTTGTGTTTTTTTTTTTAGGGGGTCCGGCCAAGAAAAGGAGGAGGCGTAAAGAAGATGCTCTTGTTTATAAATTCCAGGTGAACGCAGTAGCGGCTGACTGGACTTTTGAACTTGGGAATGATACAGTATAGTGGTTTATATCTACTGTTAGTCAAAAGGGACCGTCCACTGCCATAGAATGATGCTTCTTCAAATCTATAAGTCAAAGAAAATCTTCTGAGCGTTTATTTAGAAAGGTTTAAAAGAATATTTAATTCTTAGTTTTATTCTTAAAGCTAAACAATACCTCTTTTTCACAAAACTGCTAAAACTTGAGTTAGGCCCTTTTTTGTCCGAAAGACACAATTTATCCCGTTACGGGAGGCGAATACACACAGAAGAAAACCTTGACTCACCTGTGAAATGAAAGAAATCCACAAACACATGTCTTTAAACAACAACACCAACAATACACAAACGCACGTACACACACACATACACACACAGAACACACTCACTCAAACACACGCAAACACACATACACACAACTCCGAACCCACGCAGATTCTCACTTACAAAATTTACTAGCCCAGGATAGTGTTGAATAAATGTATTGTTTAGACACACACACTCTCTCTCTCTCTCTATTTATCTCTCTCTCTCTCTAGCTCTCTCTCCTTCTCTCTCTCTCTCTCTCTCTCTCTCTCTCTCTCTCTCTCTTTCTCTCTCACTCTCCCCCTCTCTCCTTCTAATTTGCAACAACATAAAATGCAGTTGAAAATGTCCAATAAGGCCACTCATTGTATAGAAGAAAAGTGGTTGACTAAGACAAATGAACGTCTTACTCAGTGTCATTACTTCTTTTAAAAATTGTAAACGCGGAAATGGGAATTGGCCATTTGTACAGGTGACTGTCTTATACAGGTGGCACTCAGAGTAGATTTGATTGTACTAATATAATCATCCTTGAATCCACACAGGGTGGATGAAGGATCTTTTGAACAATCTCCAACTTTTGACAGTGCTCTGTTGATTTTGGCACTTTCTGATTTATGGGTTTTTTTTTGCAATGTAGGTCCCTTTAAATCCCCCTTGATAAAATGTAATTGTAATTTATAAGGCAGTCCTTGCCTGTGAGGGCCAACCCTGGCTGAGAGGGATCCAACGTATCAGCAGAAATACCGAGATATTCGATTTGAAATATTTTAATTATTACATCTGCACTGGGGAACTGAGCTCGGTTCTCTCGTGTGCGACAGTGAAACGTCTAACAACTACACCAAAGACGCTGGTTTAGAACTCTTGACATAAACACCTATTTTTGTTTTCTTTTGAGAACATTAAGCTGGGCGCGCACAGGAAAACTTTAGTTGCGCAACTGTTTACTGGCCCTAATTTAAACAATGAAACCGATCAGCACCGCGCACACAGGCAACTCGGGTTTTTGTGTTTTGTCACAACTTTCCGGCAACGCAACTGTTGCTCAAATCTCCTGTGTCACATACCAAACTGACGTACAGCGCGCACAGGCGACCAAACTGTCTCCAGACTCGACAAGGCACCGCCACACCCCACATTTCTTTCATTCAGCTCAACAGACTAGACAGGGGTACACACAATACAATGTTTCACTTCTACAAGAAAAGAAAATGGATAGCGATCCAACTTGGATTGAACAATTTATTTCTATCATTGTAAAAGAAGCCTGTCCTCTACAACAAGACCTCATATGATAATAGCTAGAAAACTTGGGAGGTTGTGCTCTCAATTCTTCATGCAGTTTGACAAAATGCCCCATTAAAAACTTCTGACTGGTCAAATGGGGAACCCAAAACCGCTTTTTCCTTTTCTTCTTTCTAAGTGAATCACAGGAGCATACAACACTGCGTCGTGGAAGTCCATGGCGTCAAATGAGGAAGTCAGTAATGGTGATAGTGTTATAATATATCTTCTGCTGGAGTAATATCAATAATAAAGTGTAAAGCGCATAGAGCTTACTGTGGGGCGGGGGTATGCTCTATACAAATGCTATCTATTAGTGGTAGTAATAGTAGTAGTAGTAGTAGTAATAATAATAATAAAAATAATAGTAGTAGTAGTAGTAGTAGTAGTAGTAGTAGTAGTAGTAGTAGTAGTAGTAAGGCGGTTTGGACACACTATTAGAATGGGTCACAACAGCTGCTAGCCTGAGAGGTCTACAAGATACGACAGGATGGCTACAAAACAAAAGGAAGACCAAGAAAAGATGGATCGATGGAGACAAAGAGACCCTTCAAAGACAAAAATGAGATTGTGATTCAAAGTGCAACTAACCTCGGTCAGGTCTGTCAATTAGTGCATCCAATCTCGCAGGGAAGCGGAAATTTACGCCGCCTTTTTCGATTGGTCTGGATTCTCTTTTAGCGTGCCAGACGGGAACTAAGCAAAAGAGGTTACACGCTATACATATAAGTACTTTCGTACCAAGTAATACTTTGTTTTGTGTGCATTAGACTTGTTTCATTCATCAAGAAACGAGACTGTTCTCGTATATTTAAAAGCACTTTTTTCAGTACATTTTCTCTGTCGTCATATCAATTTTTTGTATTTAAAAATCACAGGAAACAGTCTTGGTTCTTATCTCCCACCCGTTCAAAACTCCCCCAAGCATGTTTAACGTCCTGTAAATGTCTTCTCCATAGGTCCATTGTAACACAAATAAGTATTCGTTTAGTCGCACCTGAGAAGCTGATTCGATACCATTATCATCAATACCACCATAAACGCCGCAAATGTCCGAACTCGCACGTCTGTCGACGCTTGTTGGTACAAGAGCACAGAAAAAAACGTTAGTAATAGTTACGTCGCTTGGTGGTACAAGAGGACGGATAAAACTCACAAGTAATAGTCCTACGTTCCCCATGTGGCCTTAGTACGAGCCAATTCTTGTTTTGTTAGCACAATGTATGGTCGGACAGGTGTCTGCCAGCTGCTCAGGTGTACTCAGCCCATATTTTTAATTATTAAAAAAATAAATTGTTACTTTTTTTCATTATTTTGTCTTATCGGCTTCATGCCTTCGTGAACAATTAAAATTTGCTCGAGATTAAAATGTTTAATGTTGCAAAAAAAAGCAAGAAAAGACAAATTACATAAATACATTTTGTAAAAGTATCAGAAACAGTTTAGTCTCTCTCTCTCTCTCTCTCTCTCTCTCTCTCTCTCTCTCTCTCTCTCTCTGTGTGTGTGTGTGTGTGTGTCTCATTATCTCTCCCTCCATCCAGAGAAATTCTCGGCCTGGGACATTTGAACGGCATGTCAACCATCTGTTGTATTGTGAGTCACCGCCACAGCTCAGAGAAGCAAGTTTTCCCACTGAGCACACTCTCCCTGATGAGTTTCTAAGCATGTTGTGGCGACCTTGCTGTAGTGACCATTATTCTTTTCGCTATTTACATTACTACACAAAGTCAACAGAATCAATGTCGCCTTGTCCTTGCTGGCACACATGCATTTAACCCAGAGCACGTTGGACTTATTTCGGTTTTCTGCTGGTAGGATACCCAAGAGGCAGGACCAGGAAAAGATGGACAGAGGGGGTCAGACAAAACGTCGGACAAAAATGAGACAACTGTGCAACAGGCGAAACAATATACATTGTGAGAGGAGATAAGAGAAGCTTTAGACAAAAAAGACATAATCATGCAACATAAAGGCGATACGACATACACGGATTAAGACGTTTGCTTCTGCCCTCAAGACAGCGACGTCACAGAGGCCGAAAAGGGTACAGGTTTAAGGTAAGGTAGTATGCCATCAAGCATCTCGTAAAGAACACGTACACATCTGACATCACATCACAGTCATGACCAAACGTCAAAGACGAATCCAGAAATTTCTGACTGGGGAAAACATTTCAGCAAGATCGCTCAAAGTCTCAGATCAACCGATCGCAGCCAGTGTAGCAAGCTGGAGCAGACACCACTTGGGTTTCAAATTCACGTAGATCAAACGTCCGTCTATGTGCCTCAGTTTGCTTTAATTTCACTGTAAAAAATACTTATCAACTTCTTCGAAGCACAAAAGATTAGATTTCAACACACCTACCCCCTTTTCCCATCCACCTCATCACACTCAGTTTCTCCACCTAGTTATGTTTGTTCAGTTGAAAAGTATTTTTATTTTAACGTTATGATTTTTTTTCTTCTTCTTTAACTGAAAATGTCAAGGTACAGATATGCTTAGATCTGTGAGCTATTCTTGGCAGTCAGTTATGCAAATAGAGACGGTGGAGAATTTTTATAGATTTATTTTGCCCTCAAATTTGATCACTATACCTTCCTCCTATTTTCTGCAAAGCCGTCAAAAGCTAAAGAACTTTAATTGTT